CCCCAGCCCAACCACCCCCGCCATAACCCCCAAGATCTCTACGAGTTCTCTCAGAAGTTCTCGTTCCAAAGCTTTTCTTATACCGTCAAAAGATACTGAATGCAATCCGTTGTATTGCGATACTCACTGTGACAAGAGATATACACGTCTATTCTTTAGACATCTTTTTATACTGACGGTGGAACGCTATCGGAATATCATTATATTCCCGGTGGAAAACCCTAGTGGATTCACCGTGGAAAAATGAGAATCTACTCATCATTTTTCTGTGGGATAGTTCTCGAGATAATTTCAATGCTTGCATAATTGGTTGAAAGGGATGTACGTGAGTCCTCCGGCGGCTGATAATGATGGATGAGGGCTTGGAGAATATGGGGCTAACAATTTAATATCAATTCTTCGAGCAACCGGCCCTCATTATAATCCATTAGGAAAGTTTTAATAACACCCGTTAGAACGAGAATAACACTGCTCCGCCTTTTTCGAGATAATTTATCTTTTTCGTTACGGACAGAGGTTGAGAGTAATTAGGAGTTATCACTTGTTGATCGGTGTCCGGTTGAATTTTTATTGGATGAGACGGGTTGGTTTTACGGGGTTGTAGTATCGGTTGTTGTGATTTCGTTTGCGATTGTTTACGGTGCGATGATCGATCGGCGTCGCTCGATCATTCCCGAGTGTCGCCGATCGTCTCAATATTTTGACGTCTAGTTCGGTGATCGCTCATGACGATTTTATGCTGGAGTCGATAGCGAATCGAGGATTTTTCGATGAGGTTTTAGTGAAGGTGATCGAGGAGATGAGTCTCTGAGGATTTCATTGGTGTGCTGAGTCAGGATCACCGGGTGAAGAGACACGAATGGTGAATTCTCTGGAGAGTTCTCGGTGTCACCGGCAATCGCACTCCAGAGGATTGAAATCCTTGGACGATCTTCTTGAAATGGAGGCGATGAGGGTGAGACTTCTCGATGAAATCGTTTGTGCAACGACTCGAGATTAAACAACATGCTGGCTCTTGACGGCTCGGGCTTGCCCTCTTGTTTCTCACTCGATGGTGCGTCCTCAAATCAGCGGCTTGTGGTTGTCACTTACACTCTCTTCAGACCTCGAGAGGATGAAAAAAACATCCGGAGAATGAGAGAACAGCACTGGGACGAGGCCGGGACTAAGTGGAGAAGAAAGCGAGATGCCGGAGACAAAACGCTTCGTCACTGTTTGCACGCACTAACGACTGTGTTGTATACAACGTGTACCAACGCGTGACCCCCAGGAAAAAATATGTTTAAGATATATCGGATTTTCACTTTTCTACAGATTTTTTGAAATATCCATTTTTCCACGAGCTGAAATGAAAAAAAAATCTAAATTATTTGCAATATTTACGTCATTTATGTAATAAAGTGTATATGATGTGTTTTGTAATGAATTTTGAATAATCTGTGTATATTTTGGGAATATTTTTGAATTTGAAAAATTGAGAGTGACGTAATTCAAAAATATATATATCATATTTAGATATTTATATCGATTTTTTTTAATGTCGATTTTTAAACGAGTCGAAATGAAAAAAAATCTAAATTATTTCAATAATTTATCAACTTTGCAATATTTATGTCATTTATTTAATAAAATGTATATAATATGTTTTGTATTGAATCTTGAATAATCTGGTCAAAAAATTTCTGGAAGATTTTTCAGAAATATTTTTTTATGAAACAGAAAAAAAATGAGAAAACAAAATAATTTTATTTTTGGGAAAGGTTTTGAAAAATTTTTCAAAAATTTAAATAGGAAATTTCCCGATTTTTTTTTGCTTCAAAAAAAAATTGCTGAAAAATTCCTACAAATTTTTTGAAAATTTGGAAAAAATATTCCGATTCCAATTTTTTTACCCGAGTATTTTTGGATCTGAAAAATTAAAAGTTCCGTTATTAAAAAATATATATATCATACTTGGACATTTCCACAAATTTTTCGAAATGTCGATTTTTCCACGTGCCACCAAAAAACCAAATTATTCCAATATTATATTAATTTTGCATTATTTATGTACCAAAATCCATGAAACACCGAATATTTTTGAATTTGAAAAATTGACAGTTCCAGAAATTAAAAAATACCCACAATAAAAAATAAAAGTATATAAATTAGTAATTTCAGAATTTGAAATGAATAATCATCCCTGAAACAAAAATGCCACCTCCAATATATTCCAAATATATTATATATTTCCCGAGAATATTTTCTGATGCAAATAGAACTAAAATAATAAGCCTCCGGTTTAAGAAGGGTTTAAACCCGGTAATTAGGTGAAGGTCAAGATTTGTCCAGGTAATTGTGGCATTTGGTCTCCGCAGGGTGTACGAAAAATATCTGTTCCTCATCCCGAAGGGTTCGACCTAGTGACGAGGGCCCGTAGATGACCTACATTGCAAACCCGTCAGACTAATAGTTCTAAAACAAACTCCGGATCTCCAACTGTGACACTTCATCCTGCTGTTCTCATAGCGGATGTCCTTTGACACTCGTAATGGAGAAAAATAATTAATGGAAGTGCTGAGCGTAACATGCGTACCGTGAACATTCGAGTTGGTAATTGGATATGAAAACCATTTTTACGGTTTAATATATTTTCTTTTTTCCCCAGAGATTCTTGCGAGAGCCGTGACACATTTGTCGGCTTTATTCTTCTCCCTGGATAAGTCGAAAGAAGAAAATGGAGGCCATCATCGAGTCACTGGACTCTCGGAGTGAGTTTTACCCGGGAAGTGCAAAGGGATGTTT